ATATATTGAAAATACATTACTCATGATGATCAGCATTTTCATCACCAATTCTCACCAAGGTTATAATATCATTTCCATTAAACATATCAAGTGTTTCATGGAAATAAGAAACTCAAAAAGAAGCTGATAAACGCTATTATGAATCAGTTAGTGCAAGTCAAGAGGTCATTAGTTAAATAATATGGTGTATTTAAGATTCATTTAAGAGTTCATATTGCTTCCAACACAGCTGAGGTGTCAGAAAGCAATGCAGAATCAGTTGTATCAGTAAAAGAGATACAAGTACGAATTCAAACAGCTAACTGGTCCAGATATTTGGCATCTTGTTTGTGTTTATTTAACCGGATGAGGGGCATCTTACCCCCTTTAAGACAAGAAGACTTTTTATTAGCAGTATTTTCTGTCAGTCCTGTTTACTTTAACAATCTTTACAATGGCCAAAGTTGAGTTTATGTTTCTTGGGCAGACAAGTGGATTCGGGAAACAAACTGCTATTGTAAAAGCCTAAGACAACCTTCGCCATCCTAGGATTACACATTGACCTTTCTGCTCCTCTATCCCCCAGTGATCTCGCTTAACAGCTCACACCAAAGAGCCTATTAGGCCTGGGTCCCACTTTGTTGTTAAAAAGGGCCTTGTCCTTTCAGAACACTCACTTCCTTGCTTTCTGTTTTTTCAAGCAAAGGTGGTGGAGGAACACAAGTTCATTGTTCCCTCACAGATGGAAGTTGGAGTTACCAGGGTAACAGCTCTAATCCTCCTTTTTTACCACTATTTTCATATTAACAGCCTATCGAGTGCTACCTTTTAAGTCACAGGCAAGAGCACTCACTCACTTTTAATTAGCTATGATTCTGTTTGCCAGGAGACCTCATGATGAGCTAATAGAAATTTACGAAATAATGACGTACTGCAAGCAGCTACTTCTTTCTCCTGCGGCCTGCTCCAATAATAACAATAATGAGGCCATTATTGGGGATTGCACTTTAAAATACTTCCCTACCACCAAAACAGAGGACATAATTGTTCTGGTGTTTTCCATACAATCAACAACCCATTGTCAATGACTTGAGTACTAAGGGTGCAAAGAATGGGTGCCATAATGATTGGTCTGTACTGCCATGAAGATCCTGTACAAAGTGTCTGCTGAGGGAGGACTTCGATAGACTGTTGATTTGCTTGTCAGTGCTGTTGATGAAGACAACTGTCTGGTTTTGTGAAAAAAAAAAATCCTTTCTGCTTTTTGTCTGCCCTGCTGCTCAAATAGCCCCCAAGCCGCATTAGAGAAAAACCATTCATATGGTGAAAGGCTGGGAGTCACACAGGCTCATGTGGAGGGGCCACATAGTTGCTAGAAAGAAATGCCATTTATATATCCTTCATACACACACACACACTCACACACACATATGTAGATAAAACTGATCTCTAGCAAAAGATAGTAAAACATGCTTGCTCTCCCAAAAGAATAATGTCTTAATATTTGACCAGTGCTTCTATACACACATGTGAATAGTCAATTTAATTCACTACTCATATATGTCAACTGAGCTTTATGTAACATGTCAAGATGGCTCAGTTAGATAATTGCATATATTTGCTCCAAAACTAACTGCATTACAAATGCAGCACGGCCATTTGGAAATTAAAATATCCCAGAGAGTAGATTATGATAAATAGAGGCTGAAAAGAAAATATTTTGTCAAAAAGTTCCACATCTAAACTTACTGGGAGAGAACTCAGCGGAGTTGTACAAACATGGAGCTGCACCTATTAGCTGAGCTTCATTGTAAAGGAGTGAGAGAGACAGAGCTCGAGGGCAGGAGGAATGCTAAGTGGGCCCCTTAGCCTAGTCAACCTTCAGTGGGTTTCATTTATCTTCATCTTGTTAGACTAAATTAATTAACAATCTCAGTGTTACACACTTTCTCCTTTCATTACATCAAATAATGGCAGAAATGTAGGGGAGGTCCTGCCCACTGGGAGTAGACAGAGACTGAAGACATCTCTCTCTCTCTCTCTCTCTTTCTCTGCTCACCTCTCTCTCTTGCTCGCTATCTTCACATCTCTGCATTCTGTCTCTCTTCCTTCCTTATTTTCTCTTGCTGACACTCTCATTTTCACTCTCTTTGACTACACAAACAAAAACCTGTTAAACGTCTTCCACAAACATTAAAAATTGATCCAGAATGAACACAGAACTTCTCTTCGACAAAGAAAACAAAAAGCTGTGAGGCTTTCAAAAAAGTGAGCATGAACTGTTGTCTATTTAAGACACTGTGCGCATTAGTTCAGAGAACTTCTGTGTTAGTTTTGAAATGTTTTAGTTATATAAATATTGGGAATTTTAAAAAGACTAGCATTATTTTTATGAGACAGTACAAAAGCTTTGACTTGTGCATAAAATATGGAGTTTAGTCTTTTCCCCATTGATGTATTTTTCACAATGGCCATACATCAACTGCCATTAGGAAGCACTTTTACAGCTACTAAAACTCACTGCATGTATGACTCAAAACCAAACGCATGACTCATTACAACAATGAAAGGACCATCCATTGTGCTACTGAGATATGAAGTACAGTATAAAAGTCAATAACATCTGCACATCTGGAACAGAAATGTTCAAAAAGCCCCCTTTGACCTAATTCAGCTGCTTTGAGAAAAGATATTGGGATTCTTCACTAGAGGAATGTCTTACTGCCGCATCTATCTGACCCCTGTTTCTATCCTTTTCTCCCATTTTATCCCCTGCCCCACCCCCACCCTCAGCCCTGTCCAGGACACAAGTCTTATCCAAGCAAAAGGGCTAACCCTAAAGCAAAGCCTGCCTTTAATCTTGGCCTGATTGTTGAGGCCTCAATCTCCAGCCAGTGTGTGTGATAGCTTTCAACTGGTGCATCTCCTTTAATTAAAACAAGCACTGACAGGAGGATGTGGATTACCACTGCAATAATGTGTTTACTTAGAATAATCACAGTGTTTTCTCGCAGCTATAGGAACAAAAGGAAGTTACTGAGAAACATCCAAGGTCAAAGGTCATGTTTCTTTCTTTCGCTCTCTCTCCTCTCTTTCTCTTTTCTGATGCTACTAGATGTAGAACTATCCTTGGTAAATGTGAGATACTCTTCTGCCAGCACCCTTCACTATCCCATGCCACTGCAACATATAATGAAACAGTGCATCTTTAGTACAGGTAGTTATCCACCAAACTGGTTTTGACAGATGGTGTGAGTTAAACACTCTCATCCACTTTCAAGCATTAATCCAAAGAAAGTGAAAATGAGCAGAGGTAGAGTGCTCTCAAAAATGTCACATGTCGTATGAATAACTCGTGTCCAACCTTAGCATATGTACCACACCAAATAAGCTGCTGCCCCATGAAAGAAAAAACAGATACTGTGTGTTTTTGCAATGTTATTTATATTTGTTTAATGCAGGAAACACTACTGTAGGTAGAACAAATATTTAGGAATATATATGAAATGTTGGTCATTTATATGTATGCATAAATGTCTCTTTTAACATGTATAATTAAAATGAAAAGAAAATGTTTCATCTAAGATCCAGAGATGTCCTTGTAAAAAGGCCCTTGTGAATATAATTTATACAGTATATATCTGCAAGATTAGCTTTGGTGCTAATTTCAATTTGGTTAGAACTTGCTTTTTTCTGAAGCTTTTAAATGCACTAGTCAAATGTCTTTGATTGAATTCTAATGATAAATAAAATAAATTTAAATGCATAAGACATTTACCTATTGAATTCCTGAAGGACGTATAAACCGGCAAGAGTAATGGTATCAAATTGTCCTTTCTTTAAAATGCCCCCAACAGATCTGAGAGGTTAAAGAAAATGCTGTTAATTTAATCAAATACAGTAAGTGACCTTTTGAAAAAGAAATCAAAGAGGATTCATTAGCTTTAGTAAAGTTTGGCTGACAGCAGCTTTGAAAGGCAGATGCTGCTGCTGTGGCTTCTAATGAGCCAACCCTAATTAGGGAGCAACACTGGAGCCTAGAGAAGGTGGTTGACTAGGAAAGGAGCCAATGGTAAATACGCTCTCCTATTTACTTCCTCTGTGTGTAATGACAGCACAAATTTTTAATTAGAATCACAGGAAGGGTAAAGTCAGAAATGTAAATCTTTATGGTAGGTTGAATAGAAACACAGAAACAACAGGAAACAACAGTGCATCACAAGACTGATATGCCAGCCTTACCCTAACATCCCTGATTAGGGTGGTTAACAAGGGAGGGCAGATGAGCAGAGAGGTCAGACAAAAGCATGCAATGTAACATCACAGAAATCTGCAGGTTCTTAAAGCTGTGGAGAGGAAGGAAGAAAAAGGGGGCATCTCATCTAAACAGTGCATGTCCCTCAAGTTGTTGATGTGTGCTTTCAGTCTGACTGGAGGCTATCAGGGGGAGCATGCCAGCCAGCCACACACTACATGAACACAATCATAACACACAGCTTGGGTAAATATATTAGAATACATGTTAGACATTGTTCAATTGTACATACAGAATGCACACAAAGGACAAAGTCTGAAGATAACCCTGTGTCAGAAAGTTTAACCCGTGAGCCCGCTACCACCCCTGCCCAGGCTGCATTCCTAAATGGCAACAACGGAAATGAAACTAACCTCAGTAAAAAGCTGCTACGAAGAAAGCCTTCCATGTCAGCGTGTGGGGTTCTGGCAGGAGAAATCACAGAGAACCATTTTCACTATGAACAGAGTGGTAATCAAGAAGATGCATAAGGAAAAAAGGAGAAACGAAAGAAACAGAAAAAGAAAGAACAGCACACAGAGCATACATCTTTCTTTTATAATAAGGCATGTTTGTAATTAAAGCAGAAATATGGCTACAAACCCATCCTCTCTTTTTATCAACTGGAATCATTAATTATATCTCTTTCTATTGAGGGAGTGGATTAGCATACAACATTGGTTTGCACTGAGAGCCTGATGATATGTTTGTATCAAATAAACTCTTCCCACTGATCCCTATACCGTCTTTTTCCACAGCCCTGTGTAGATATATGCATGTACATCCAGCGCTGTAACCACAGATGTTCAGAGCAGCCTACGGTGGTCCAGCTGCAGCCCATGTGTGGCCAGGGTGCTGTGGTTTCTGGGAGCCCGGCCGCAAAGCACCCAAGCTAGGACTTGCAGTGCCAGTGAGGCAAAAGGATGTGGTCATGACGTCAACGCTCGCAGGGGTCGCTCAAAAGCCTTGCCCACAAAATACTGGCGACACATGGCTAAAAATGACTTGCAACAGGTTTCCATTAGCCTGTCACTGGTCTGTGTAATGTCCATGTTTATTGTGTTAAGAGTGGTTGGAAATTGATTAGGAAATCCATGTGATTTGTTTTAAGTTTAAATGTCTCTCAGATCTCATAGCTGGCCTTATAAAGATACTCAGCCACTGAAATATGGCAAGTATGTATGCAAGTCATTTCACTTCAGCATTTCATCATTCTAACATCCTTTTATTTAATTTTATAGCTTTTATATTCAGGAGCTCTAAGGTTCATGGATCAAAATTCCTCCAGTGACAAACATTGTTATAATACTGCATACCTTCATGAATAAAGCAAACCACAACAGCAAATGCCATCTTAGCCTTTAAACACCTAATGTTTTAGTGACACGAGTATAATTTGGCATTTTCTCCCCTTGCTCTCTTGGCTTGTGAGACAAAGCCTCTGAGAGAATGGAAAGAATGAGCTGGGCCCAAGGACACTGTGCCTTTCAGTCTGGCCAGCACTTAGCAAGGCAGTGGATCCACAAGGCCCAGAGGGCTCAACTGAGACTTTTCTCACAATAAGGTGTCTGGGGAAGCGGGAGTGGCAAAGCCAGGAGCGCTACAGCTCTGCTCATTTCTCCACTCAGCTGGGCCCGGTGCACATAATACCATCACCATGCCAGAGCACACCAAGCCAGTGACAACGTGAGAAAACAACCGTCAAACAGTGCAGAGCAACTCAGGCATGTCTCCTCACTTCTCTGAGTGCAAAAAGCATACATACGCTACAGCAGGCGCACACAAACTAAAACAATTATCAACACAAATGTGAATTCAAGCTGAACTTGAAGTACATGCAAACAAATTCTAGCACATATTTGCATACTGTAAACTAAGATTTAAAAAAAAAAAAGTTTGATGCAGAAACAAATATATAAATAAACCAGAGACAGGATGAACAAAACATTATTTTTATTAACTTAATGTGCTTGTTTCAGTAGCACCTGAATCCTGCAGCAGGTTTGTTATAAGAGTTAAAGGAGCCGGAGAGAAAATGAAATAGATTAGGCCACGCTCAATTTCTATCTTTAGCTTTGGTCATATTCCATAACCCTTGTTCTTTCACTTTCTGTGTGCTTGTGTTTCTTCAGCTGTGCCTGCTGTCTGCAGTTTCGTTGTGGTCAAAAACAACTGAACTTAGCCTATGGAAGCAAAAGAGCGGT